CTTACCTACTGTTCTGTATATTGCTCCCACTTAGTCTTTTCTGCGCTACTCAAAAAGGACTGTGTCATATTGAGGAAAGAAGTATTAAAGGTTGTCAGTTGGGCAATTGGCGTGCCACTTAGTCAGCCAGCTCGTTACTATTTTAGTCGACAGACACATCTGAACTCGTGTGAGAAATGGTCTAAATCAACACTGTCTGACTCTCAACACCTCAACCTCTCTACCAACAACACTCAAACCTTGCCTCTCGTAAGATAGGACTAGACGTCGTTATAAAGGTTTATATGCTCACTCGCACACCCAAGTACAGAACCTCAGCCATACCGTATTTGACCCACACGCGTTCCATGTGATAGAGATAGTGTTAAACGTGAAACCTGCGACTACTATGTTATTGTTGCTCCATATTAGATAAGTTCGAAACACAGTGGTACAGTATTAATAACTGGGTGACGTTTCCACCAGAAACTTATCTAATATGTGACGTCCTTCAGTTGTTAATACTGTATCACCATGTGTTATTAAATAAACTTACCCAATATGGAATTACATTGCACAACATTGTCCAAGTTCTTTAATTACATCACTAATACTGCTTCAGTCATACAACGTGTCCACGGACTAAACTGTATTGAAGTAATGTAGATTTACAGTTCATGTGGGTGTTTTTTGCATTTTGTTGTATCCTTTGGGCTTAGTGAAGCTTCCCTTATCCCTCTGGATAAAATCCAGCCCAGAGGAGTCTTAGAGTCTTAGACTTGAGCAATAATGAGAATTTCGGTGAATTTCAGTGCATGTTCACGTATCATTATTCATCTTCCAAAGATATTCAGCCGTCGAATAAGTACTTGAAGTTAAACTCCTTGAATAAATTCGCAGTGGGTAAGCTTATTCGTGATGCGCAATTTAAACAGTTCCTGGAGGTGAACTTTCACCGTAGTCCCCTATGGGAACTAAAATCATTTTGATCGCAATACGCGTTCGAATTGGCACCATAAATAGCACTCAAAAAAGCAAACATAGGTGCATACCTCTACATACTACTGATTGATTCATACGAGTAGTTTTGATACCACTCACATGAATCACTAGTGCGGTTTTGGTCGTTTTAGACCGAGTTCCTCATTGGTCCAACTAGCTAGATAGAATTCAGATGGTTTCAAATGCTTTAATTCTCTAATATGCTGAGCTCGGCTTCGAATCAAGGAAACACCAATCCGGTGTTTATATCACTTCGGTTTGACCAGTTGTCCAGCTACTCATATCGATAAATCAGTAAAATACATCATCATGTAACTTCGTGAATACTTTCAATCCGAGTAGAGCCTGTCTCAAATCATTTTACAATTTATTGTGGAAATCTGAATCTGTAGAGAAACCCGCAGAGAAAGTGAACATCTTTATGAATAAAACTCTACGAAAGACTACCAGCTGGGCTAGCTGATCTACAAGAGCCAGTGATCACTAGTCCTTACTCATCGTGTTGTGAGAATAAATGAAGCCCGATGTCCCGTTTATTAGCACGCCAACTGCTTAATTTGAACTTCTTTTTTCAGATCTATTCATTTAGAACCCGTCTAATAGCTTCTACCTTGATGTGGTGGTTGGGGTTCGCATGTCGCAGTGATCCAGCGAGGTACAATGACTAGAATGAATGTTTCTGCAGATCCTACTACTCCCAGAATACCGTTAGACTAAAAGATTTCATTAGTAATGGTTAAATCGTATACACTGTGTTGGAGGTTTCAGGGCAAATCGTACTGCTATTGTGTAAGAGTATAGTGGCAATATTGATGTTTCCGTCGGACGATCAGCAAGCCAGAGGTGGTGACTTTTCACTCTGGGGAAAAGCGGAGGTTAGAAAAGTTCGATCCCGAAAACTGAACATCCAGAATCATTTTGTGCCGATTCATAGCTGGCTGTAGGGTCTTCATACGGACAAAACTATAGAAATCACTTCAGACAGGCACTGCGTGACTATCCTCAGACAGTTTTCGTCGGGGTTCTACAGTCACACAATACTGATGCTTTTTTTTCTTACAGATATTTCCAGAAGAAATCAATTTCCACTGTATGGGCAGCAGAGGGGTAATAATTGGCCGGCCACTTCCATAATCGTAGTGAACTACGACGGGGGTTGGGCGTTGTTAACTTGTGGTGGGGCTATCTGAGGTATTCCGGATTGACAGACTGAAATAAGTCTGGTGAGTGATGACTGAAAATGAAAGAAACATCTGTTTCGCAGGGAAATTCAAACCGACGGCCTCTAAATCGTCAATCTCTACTGTTAACTAACAGTGACACTTGTAGACGACTGTTAATATGAAGGGTAACATTTTTATCTAGAAGCCTCGAGACCGCTAGTGTGGGGTTATACCATCTAAATCTCTGCGTAGCATTCCAAATTAACTATTCTATTATGTAAATTTGCTCTCTACCTAACTAGATAAGCTTTAATCTAATTACATAAGCAACCACTATATAACATATTCAGTTATTTAATAATTTTTAAAACTTTACAATCAATAATTTCCAGGGTAACCTTGAATTGTAAGTTTTTTAAAAAAAAGATTATTTCAGTGTTAATTAGTCAGTCATTTCTAGTCACTATTTGAACTCAAAAACGGAATGCTTTATAATACGAGTGATATTCTGACTTCCTTATCTGATAATAGTAAATTCTTAAACATGAATTCTTGTCGTCTAAAATAACTGATCAATAAGACTGATTGGAGCTATCAGATAGAACAAGGGGCCGTACCTTTCATTCCATTTTACCATTTTTGATAATTTCTGGCTGTTAAAGTGAAATAAGTAAGGCGTGAAGGTAGATAAATTGTCAGTGATGTAATTGGTCTGTAGAGGTCGTAAAGTTTTCATTATCAGGATTCAGTCAAGTGAGTGAAATCTCGATAGACTTGATACTCATCCGACATATTATGCAATAGAGTCGTTAGTGAGCTCCATAGACCTGATCAAATACGAAGTGATAATCTAAGAATGTAAGTTGGCTTTATGTTTTTAAAAGAAACCTTCTTGATACGGAGCCATCCTGTAGAACAAATTAATACACAGCTGACAGTGGTTAAAGAATCATTGGGTGTACTGAACAGCTGTTTCGTCCTGGTCTGTGACTCTTCAGTCTGATGCTCACTAGCAACTAGTCCTATTCAGGTAGGTAGTTACCTGGGTTCTTGTAGGAAGTCGTGACCAATGAGGTATAGAAGGTTGAGTGTGAGGAAGAACACTCGCTACCGATGACATTTTAGCTAGTACCAGTCGCTCTGTATCGTGAATTGGCAGAAGTTGGAATTTACAGACTGGTCACTGGATCGAGTCCCAGTGGCTGAATAGTCTACGAGCTCATCTTGTGACCGGAGAATCCTGGGTTCGAACCCCAATTGGTGAGTACTGCTGAAGAGTCCCAAACTGGGGGAAAACAGCAGACCAGTACTGCCAGATTTTCCAACGGTTCTCTAATTGATGTCATCTCATGAGGAAATCCTTGAATATCAATATTAAGTCTAGTTCTCCATAGACTTGAGACTCATCTGACTTATTATGAAATAGAGTCGTTTGTGGGCTCCACAGACATGGTCAAATACGAAACGGTAATCTAAGAATGTAAATTATTTTCAGGTTTTTGAAAGCAGAGAGATTCTTTACATGGAACCACTCTGTAGGAGAAACTAACACACAGTATGGCTTATGTTACTCCCTTGTACATTTCAGTTAGCTGAGACACTTGACTTTTCAGTCATGTTCAGACAATTTTGGAGAAATATTTTGCAAATCACAGCTATAAGGTAAGGAACCGACAGTGTGTAAGCTAAGTGACACTTAATGACATAACATTGGTGAAGTGGCTTTATAATATGTAAGGGGGCATTGACTCCTTAGTTGTTGGCTAGCGGTGGACAGCAGAACCAGATGAAATTCCCCCTGAAGCACTGAAAAAGGACCCAGAGACTGCAGCGGAATGTTCACGCCACTGTTGCAAAACGTCTGGAAGGAAAGGAAGGTACCTACTGATTGGAACAAAAGCTAGCTTATGTTTTATCCTTCCTGGGACTCAACAACCGAGTATACCAGCGCTGTGATGGTGTTCCTCCTCAGACTCGAATGAGGTATCCGTCACTCGCCAACCTAATAGATGATGCTTTGGTATTTGAAGCTATTGGTACTATGTTTGAGCCTTAGTGGAGGGCAGGTCTAACCAGCTGACGAACTTCAAATAGGATGAAATGCACGTCCTTAATTCCCTTGCTAATCCCCACTAAACTACATACATTGGGTAATAGATTTATGAAGACATCTACTCAGGCAACACAATAATATCTGACACTACTCATCATAGAAATTGTCAAGTAACTTTACAGTTTTGACAGTCTCTGTATTATAGGATCGATGTGTCATTCACCAGACGGCGAAGTATGACGAATGTAACATTAAACCAGAAAGATCATCATATGTTATTTGGTATATCGCCAAAATATGGTAGATTAGAAATACAATCCCTTCAGGTGTAAACTAAAATTAGTCAAGTTCGATGGTGAATTGACTTGAGTTATTGAACCACAAAAAACTAATGAGTACTGGGCTACCGCTTCGTCCCTGATTGAGGCTCTTCATCAGTAAGCACCCATTAACCCACGAGGGATTGAACAACGGACCCTCAGATCAATCAATTCTAACTTCTGCCTTGTAACCTAAAGGTCCTGCGTTCGATCCACTGTGGGATAATGTTTGTGTTCTGATGAAGAGTCTCGAGCAAAGACGAAACAGCTGTCCAGTACTCCTGGGCTATCTAACTGAGGTCATTTCATGATTAAACTTAAAGTCGATCAAATCCTTGAAGCCTAACACTCTGAAATAATTAAATTTTCAAGTTATCAATGATAAAAACTAAGAGACAATTTGTTTTCTAAATTTCTGACAAGTAAAACATTAACACACCACAATAGTTTAGCGGGAAGCAAGACAGCAAAAGATCAACTAACCTTGTTTCAGTTAATATTCCAATATGAATAAGCATGAACAATACGGTAAGCTGGTTAAACTCCAGGCACTGGGACATAATGCGTTGTTTATCGAATAGTGTAAAGTTTTATACTGTGACCTACTTCGATAAATTGTAAATTTATATATACATATGTATATAAGTATTTAAGTTTTTGGATAACTGGGGACAGTCGTATAACAACAACAGAACGCTTTGGACATATTTTTGGACACGTGATCCCATGTAGGCAGGTAGATAGATAGGTTGGCTTGATAATATTATAAACTTGTTTCTCATGTATTTAGTATACACCTGTTTGCAGAGTGATAAAAACAAAGATAGATATATACATGACTGTTAGTGTAAACATACTTGAGTGTTTACAGGATGCAATGGAATATTTTGTTGATTTATGATTACAATTCGGACTAATACTAATACCACTACTACCACTACGCAGTCAACTAATCGATAAGTAATAAAATTTAGCATTGTGAAATGGACAAACTTACCTGACCTCTAATTATTATTATTATCATTGTTTCCTTTAATTCCTAGAGGAACATAGGGCTTCAGCCGTGCGTCTCAACTGTGTTTGGTTCTCTGCTAGAGTCTTCACCTAGCTCCATGTCTGCCCACACGTTTTCATCTCCTCTTCACATGACCTCCTCCAAGTCACCCTTGCACTGACGACCAACTCGCCGCTTCCCTTTCGGATTCCACTCGAGCAATGGCTTGTCTAGTGATGTCACTTGATGGTTTCCTCAGAGTATGGCCCAATCCATCTCCATTTCTTTCTGCTTATTTGTTTCACAATCGGTTGTTGGTTGCTTCGCTTCCAGAGATCTCTATTGCTGATCCTTCTTGGCCATCTGATCTTGAGTATTGAGTGAAGACAACTGTTAATGAAGGTCTGTAGTTTGTTTGAGATGCTCTTTATGATGCGCAGTGCAAGTCTCTGATCCGTATAGTGAGTAACACTGACTTCACATTGGAGTTGAAAATCCGGATCTTATTTTGGATGCTGAGTGCTGTTGATCTCCACAAAGGCTTGAGAGCAGTGAAACCTTGTTGTGCTTTTCCGATTCTTGCTTTGATATCCTCGTCAGTTCCGTCTGCCTGTAGTTGAAACGATGCTTCCCAGGTGGGTAAAAGAGGTTGTTTCTTTCAGGTTCCTTCCATTTATGCTGATCGTTGTCTATTGTTGTTCTTGTCCAGGAATCTTCATCACCTCTGTTTTCTCTATGTTCACCTGAAGACCTATCTTCTCTGAATGCTTCTTCTGCCGACTTGTTGCTTTTCGCTTGCATATCTTCCAGTTTGTGGGAAATCAGATGATATCATCGGCGAAGTCCAGATCCTCCAAGTTTTTTGTGTGTGCGTTATTTTTTTCTCAGCTTTGTACTGTTTGCACAAAATTTCCACTTCATAACGACAATCCATCTTGTCTTGTTGAAATAAGAGTTAGCAATTTCATGGGAGATTTCGTCACAATTTGAAATCAATTAGTTACAGAACTATCAGAAAGCAGAGGGAAATGGATAGCTAGTGTGGGAAGGTTTTCTGGTGTATCGGGAATTGGACTCGGGATCTAAGTGTGGCAAGGCAAGCAAGCGCTTAACAATTCAATCAGGGATTCAGAATCCCGCGGCCCATAAACTCTTGCCTAGAATCAGTTAATTTATTACGGTAATGCACCGCTATTCAATGCCATCAATGAGAGACAAATCAATAGTGTTAAATCCTTCTTGTTGACAGTTTATCGAACCTAAACTGAATGACTTTCAAGAGTTCGTTTGTAGGGATTTGATTTTCCTTAAGTTTGGTCATGTATTGATATCAGTTAGACAAGCATTGAAAATCAGAGCTAAAAACACCAACTGGCTGACCATTGAGTCAGGTCCCAATGGCTGTCTTCTTTTTCGGGTAGAAAACAACACACTGTTTTGAATGGAAAGCACTACACTTCGTAGCTAACGGAAACTGGTGTGCCTCAAGGTGCTGTACTCTCTCTCTCTCCATTCCTTTTTTCTCTATATATTTGCATGACCTTACCAATATTCTTACAAAGCTAACTTCATTAAATATACCGATGATCTAACCATTTCTCAAGTATTGGTTTTGTAGGGATTTTGTTTGATTGCATGGAGGCTCTTCATCAGTACACACCAATTAACCCACGAGAGAATGAACTACGGACTCTCAGGTGATGAAATCCTCCATGCAATCAAACAAAATCCCTACAAAAACCAATACTTGAAAATTAATCTGATGCTCACTAGTGGCTGGCCTTATTCAGGTAGTTAACCTGGGGTTCTAGTGGGAAGCCGTGACCAGTAAGGTACAGCAGGTTGAAGATGAGGCAGTAACTCATCGAAGAAGACATTACGAAGTGGTCGCACTATGTCATGAAATGGCAGAATTTAGAATTCAAGGACCATTGGATCGGGTCCCAGTGACTCAGTGGTCTATGAGCTCTCCTTGTAACCAGAAGGTTGTGGGTTCGAACCTTGGTGGTGGGTGCGTATTGATGAAGAGTCCCAAACTAGGATGAAACAGCTGTTCGGCACCCCCGGGTTTCCAGTGGTTCTCTAACTGATGTCAGCTCATGATGAAATCCTCCATGCAATCTAACCATTTCTCACATAGCACTTTCTGCTTTGGATTGTTCTTATATGGATAGACTCTTGTCTGAGGTTAACAAATCGTCTCACCTAAATGGTCTCAAACTGAATCCGTCTAAATGTCATACTGTTGATTTTAGTTTCAGATGCGAACGAGACTTGCGTGGCGTTACTCAGTCGCATGATTCCTGTAATACTGACGGCAGTGGGAAAGGGAGTAAGTCGAATATCTCTTATCTCGGCATCAGTTTCTCTTTGAATCTCTGTTGGTCGTCTCATATCCTGTTGATTTCGAAGAAAAATGTTTGTTTGGCTTATTAAATAAAAGGTATTTAATTGATGTATGGTGACTAGCAGTGGAATCCAGGATGCGCATTTCGTCCTATCTGGGGCTCGTCACTGAAAAATGCAGGTACATCCAGTGACCAGTCCCAAATAGGACGAAATGCGCACCCTGTATTCCACTGTTAGTCACCGTCCACCAATTAAATACTAATTAAATGCCCAGACATCGTCGAAGCATCTGTTCAAGAAGCCGACATGTCAACCTGAGACCGAGCACTTCGTTCCAATCAATCGATGGGAAAATCTAAAATTCAATTATATTACATAAAAAAGTTGAAATTTCTGCTGGCATAACTCAACCTCTTCTCTTACAATTGGTCAATTCATGTATTCTGCCCATTCCCCCACTGTGTTTGCTATCATTCCTCCTCAGACTCCTCAAAAAAATCTATGTCATATTACGTAGAACACTGAAGACTGTAATTAGGGTTAGTTGTGTGCCTTTGACTCAGCTAAATGACATTATTGTCAATAGACTCTTCAATTCCTGGAAGTCGTCAGCTAAATTCATCTTGTCTCATGCCAAATATCCTCTTTATTATACCGAAATTTCTCCTTGTATCTCTTCGGGAGGGGGGAGGGGCGGTAAACCAGAAGAAACTTCATAAGGATTTACGCTTGTACAACTAAATATAAAAATTCTATCATACCACCATATTTAGTACGGATTTCGTGTGAAGAGTCAGACGTCAGAGAACAAACTATAAACTTTTAAAATCAGTAACTGGACTGCAAAGTATAAGCACAGAGTATTATTGCATGTATTATCAATATTACTATCTACTTATACTTCATTATGTTTCCACCAACATTCTGTTTATAGTGGTTTCTTTATTAGTATTATCATTACTATTTTTAATTATATGTATTCACATATTTATAAAAGGAGCTTAATTGCTGCTATATGTATAAAAATGCTGAAAATTGAATTCTGTATAATTATTATTGTCGTTTGAAATAAATTGATCATCATTATTATGAGTCGTCTGCAAGCTTCCCTTGTGATCTGAAGGTCTCGGGCTCGAAACCCAAGATTTGAATCCACCACCTTTTGTGTAGAATGTTTAATCGTTACTTGATTGTCTTTTAAATAACAAGTGGTGCTCATTCATGAAGTTGGTATGTTAAACGGGAGTTGAAACATCCTGGAGAAAGATAAACAGATTTGAAAAGTCCTCGATTTGAACCCCTGCAGTGAGCACCTACTGTCGATGAGTCTCAAACTAGACTAACGAAACAGCTGTCCAGTATTCCATGTTGGTTTCCAATGATTCTCTAACTGACAGTAGTCCGTGATCAAACTAAACTGACTGGTTAGCATATTCGCTACTTGATTACTACTTTGATGCTATTCATTTTGAAGTTCATTAGGAATTGTAACATTCACTTTAATAAACTGGTATAGCCAACTAACTTATCTCAAGTGACAGTGAAACGTGTACCCCAGATTGTACTTTAACAAAAAAAATAATAAAAACATAATCTATGTCACGTATGACACTAAACGTAAACAGATCATGTAATCCAATTGTTGTGGGGTGATTTTAATTATTTCATCATCTTCAAGGTCATTGACTCCATGTCATTGATGAATGTACATTGTGTTTTTATTACCATTTTTTTTAAATATTTCTACTAATTAGTCATGGAAAACGTTTGTCTAAAATTCTATTATTTCATATTTTAATACTTACAAAAACGTGTTATTAATCTCAGTGGTCAGTTTACACGAAATTGAATTGATTCTTGCATGATTACGACGTGACATTAGTCAGTGAACCATTGGAAAACCAGAGAGTGCTGCATATCAGATTCATCCTAGTTTGTGACTCTTCAGCAGTATGCCTTCGCTGGAGCTCAAACCCAAGGGATTCTGGCCACAAAAGAAACTCGTGGACTATTCAGAAATTGGGACCTGACTCATTGGCTCATAAATTTTAGCCGATATCGATTTGTAATTTTAGCGTGATCATTAGCCAATGTCATAGATGGCAAGTATTTTTTCTGATACCTAACAGTATTATTTATAAAAAGTTGATCGATACCTTCGAATTCTGTAAGAGGTACGTCGACGACACTTTCATTATCGTCGACAATGAAGAAAATCTAGACGATATCTTAAATTCCTATAACAACTGCCACACTGCGATTCATGTCACGTTAGAGAAAGAGTCGAACTCCAAAATATCCTTTCTTAACGTTCAACTAACAAGACAAGAACAGGATGGAACACTGAAAAGACCTATCTACAGAAAGCCAACGTGGAACGGACAGCTTACTAACTTTCACTGTTGGGTATCCCTATGCACCAAACGAAACCTGA